TATATATATGTGTCCAATTTTACAATTGTTGAAAAAGTATATACAACTTTTATAATAGTCGTGTGGTCTCATGTGATGCCTATGAAGTCCGCCATAGACCTAATTTTTTTTTTAGAGGTTTTTTTTTTCTAAAGGTTTTATTTAATAACATAATTAGGATGTTGATGAGGGGGAGGGAGGAACCAGGGAAGGCAACATACAGCATAAGAATACGAAAATTCACGTTTAAATGGACATCGATCCTGCTTTGTGTTCATGATAATGGGAACACATGTAAAGTGAGAATCCTTTGTGCACACATTAAAAAAAAATAGAATTAAGTTAATATTAGCTGTATTCCTTTCATAGTTTAAATACAAAGCTGAATTTTTAAATGAAGCCCATAGGAGATTGTGGAGTAGTGGCAACCTATTGGCATACAAGCCTATAGGAGAGTTTTATTGGCTGAAATAATTAGAAAAGAAGCAGAAAGCTTGAGTGAGTGACAAGACACCCAATCCGCAGTCTCCATACACTACAGCCAGACAATTCCACATTTCAGGTACCGAGTGATTAACCACTTCAAGACTGGACACTTTTACCCCCTTCCTGACCAGGGCAATTTTCAGCTTTCAGCGCTATCACACTTTGAATGACAATTGCGCGGTCATGCCACACTGTACCCAAATGAATTTGTTACCATTTTTTTGAGACAGATAAAGCTTTATTTTGGTGGTATTTATTCACTGCTGGGATTTTTATTTTTTTTGCTATGTAAATTTTTTTTTTACACTGATTGCTTTTACACCCATATAGGATGTAAAAGCAATCATTTCTCTTTCTCCCTGTCTGCATTATTGCAGTCATTGAGAAATACAGAGTGAGCTGTGATTGGTCACAGCTTGTCACATGGTACAAGGCTGTTGTGAATAGCCTTGTACCATGTGACCTCTGTGATCATTCAGAGATTTCACACGTAGTAAGCAAGAATGTCACAAGTGACATCTTGCTTGCTACTTTGCATGTGATCACTGATTGGCCAATCAGTGATCACATGATCGGGACCTCGTACAGAGGTCCCGTCCGACAATCGGTGTTTCACTGTGTCCGGAGGACACAGCGGGCACCGGATTGCGGTGCTGCACGCTCCCAGGGAGCGCGCACAAGCAGGGTGCGGGGAGGCCGTTTATAAACGGCCACCCAACCCTGCACTGCCACCATCCGGCCGTTTATATACAACGGCCGGTCGGGAAGTGGTTAAAATGATCTATTACGAGTCTCCAGGTATGTTCACCTAGGATCGGATGTAAAATTCTAAGAAACAAATTGTATATTTGGGTAGGAAACTGGGAGAGCCGGGAACAAATGTTCAGATAGCTTATTCCTGACATGAAAGTTGATTGAATAAAATACGCCAATGCGTTTCAGGGAAGGGCCTCCTTCTTCAGGGCTGGCCACGTTCATTTTCATACTGCAAATTCTTTCTGCCTCTAAGCAGGTATTTTAATTGAATCTTGTCCAGATTTAATAACAAACCATATGTTTTGAGTCCTGAAGAAGGGGAGAAAAAAAGGTTTCTGCCGAAATGCGTTGAATGTATTTTATTCGATGAACATATTAGCTAAATATGAAGCTACAGTATCTGACCATTTGCAGCAGGCACTCCGAATCTTATAGCCGAACACAGATTATGTGTTGAGCGGTTTGTTCACAGCGATCAGAGAAGCATCAGACCACAACCAGGTTACTTCTCACTGTGCCTCGAATGTAGATCATCAGCCACAATGTAGAAGCAATCTTTACAATTTACATAAATCAAATGCTGATATCCAACACACCTACCAGGAGGAAACACTGTGGGCTCAGAAAATGTGGTCTCACACGTCAGCCATACCATTTCCACAAGCAGCCAATGACTGACACAACTACCAGGAAGGGTTTTATTAAGTAATGCAAAGTGTGAAAAAGTGAGTCCAGAAACAGCTATACCATTGCTGGACACATTTAGACCAAGCAAAAAGATGAAAGGGGGACTTTGCATTAGATATATTTTTCCCATTAAGTGCATCATGCTCTGTGGTGTGGCAGTGTAACACTTGCAAGTATTTATTTTCTCTCACAGTGTTTCCTCACCCTGAAAATTCCTTCTTCTTTTCTCTCCAGGAAGGTACCATTTTTGTTCAGGCATCATCCAGAGTCACCATCTACTTCCTTGCCTGAGATGCTGGCTCAGAGATGACACAATCATGTACATCCTGGTGCCTGCGCAGTTATGAATGAATAAAAATCACTCTAGAATATACCCTGGCAGCACAAAAACTCAACAAGTACAGGAATGGAAAAATGGAATAGAATAGGATTAATACCTAAACATGTTGGAAACCGTTATACGTCAACCTCCCTCCCCTATTTCTTGCCTCTGCTGCCACACACATTGCAGTCTCACTTTTCCTGCTGAAAAATAAGGATCCCCATAATATAAAAAAAAAAAAAAAACAAAAAACACAGCTGGAAGAGTGGAGACCCATATTAAACAAACCTGGGGACTGGGAAAAAAAAAAAAAAAAAATCACACCACCAGAGACCCTTAGGCTGACCATAGATGAGTCTTTTTTTTTTTGTTCAAGCAGTATGTTGAACGAAAAGATAATGAATCGATTTTCCCATTAACACATTGGAGGTGAATGGGAGAATCATCACAGCTGCAATATTGTATTATGACAGTGGGGAGACTTAAAGAAAAAAAAAAGATAATCAAACTAATGTTCAATTTTTTTTTACATGAAGACAACCCAGAGGGATTACACTGATATCCATGTGAGATCACAACTCAGAACTGTCAGATGTAAATTAAATTCCCCTACCAAAAGTCCTGTGTAGTGCCAAATACTGCCAGCAGGGGGCACTGGTCATCTAGCGAAATCTCATATCAGTCAATCACTGTTTGGGATATTTTAAATTTGAATTTACAGTTTTATTATTTATTTCAGGTACTTCTATAGCGCCATCAATTTGCACAGTGCTTTACATATATATTGTATATTCACATCAGTCCCTAACCCTCAAGGGGCGTACAATCTAAGGTCCCTAACCTACATTCATACATACACATACTAGGGCCAATTTAGAAAGGAGCCAATTAACCCACCAGCATGTCTTTGGAGTGTGGGAGGAAACCAGAGTACCCGGAGGAAACCCACACAGGCACAGGGAGAACATGCAAACTCCAGGCAGATGGTGTTGTGGTTGGGATTTGAACCAACGACCCTAGTACTGCCAGGTGGAAGTGCTAACCATTTAGCCCCTCTGCTGCCAAGCCACTGTGCATGTAATATATTTAGGGTGAGATTTCGGGGTTGACATTGTCTTCTAGGTCCAACAATGATATGGCTACTATCACCTCAGCATATCTGGTAACCAAAAGAACTCACTTCTGGTCAAGCAGCTGCTAGGTGGCTTTCAGTGGAATGAGGCTTGAGTGAGCTGTTCTCCTGTATAAAACCAGAGGGACCTCTCAAATATGAATTCAAGGTATGGATCATTTTACAAGCTTGAATGTAGGCATGCCTATACCAAACCAGTGGGATCCCTGCGAAAGCTGAAAATCCCTGTATAGACACGGCTACTCCAGTGATCTCCACTGGCTTCTGGGTCCTGTGCTGAGTGGCTGACCTGATGTATTGTGAACACAGGAGGTCGACCACTCAGCATGGATGCCATTTAGAGAATGCGTTCAGTAATAAAATGCATCTCTGAATGGCACCTGTGCCAAGCGGGTGACCTCCTGTGTCCACAATACATCAGGGGAGCTGCCCATCATGGGACTCAGAAGCCAGTGGAGGTCACTGGAGTAGCTGTGTCTATACAGGGACTTCCAGTTTCTAGGAGGATACCACATGTAAAAAAATGCCAAACCTGGAATTCTAAAAGTAGACCTTCACTTAAACTGGGTGACATTTCGTTTCCTAAAGCCACATGTATTATAATCAGTGGCCATGTTTTTTCCCAAAAAGTATGGTCTCCACCTTCTTTTCCATCTTTTTTTCCCCCAATCTGATCTCCTGCAGCCATTTAAAGCCACTTCCAGGGGCACAGTGGCCACACAAGAGAATTGGGTGACAGTTGTCACCCCATAACTGGAAGCGCTTGACCTTCATGCATATTTAAATTTAAAGACTGGGAAATAAACTTTTAAATGACCTTAAAGTGTTACTGAACCAACAACATTAAAAATCAGTCTGTATATGCAGTAAAGCAAGCTTGTTATACTCACTGTGGACCTAAGAGGTAATCCTCTGCATTGTGTAAAAAAGCTGTATGAGTCTTCTCTGATCCTCCTTTCTTTCAGTGTCCCTCTTATCTCCTAATAAGACATATTGTGTGGAGTCACTCTGCACTTGCTCAGTTTGGTGTGTATTGCTAGAGAGGTTGTTGTTTTTTTTTCATGGGGAGAGTGCATATGATCAGCGCAGGGCCAATCAGCACTGTCCAGACAGAGGTCAGGGGTTCTGCATCCTCTTAGAGTAAAATGAAAACTCCTCCTACAAGCTGTAACCATTGCTCAGCTGGACACTGATAGAAGTCACAAGACTGCTCTAATTGCGGATGAGAAAAGGTATTTAGCTGTTTATATTTACTACAATAATTGCATTTCCATGTTCTGTGTACTTTGGGAGACCAGATATAGACCAGATATAGAGAATGCAGGGTCCTGGGAGACCAGATATAGTGAATGCAGGGTCCTGGGGAGAGGGTCAGATATAGTGAATGCAGGGTCCGGGGAGACCAGATATAGTGAATGCAGGGTCCGGGGAGACCAGATATAGTGAATGCCGGGTCCGGGGAGACCAGAAGTATAGAGAATGCCGGGTCCGGGGAGACCAGATATAGTGGGGAGAATGCAGGGTCCGGGGAGACCAGATATAGTGAATGCAGGGTCCGGGGAGACCAGACATAAGTGAGACCAGAATAGTGCAGGGTCCGGGGAGACCAATATAGTGAATGCAGGGTCCAGGGGAGACCAGATATAGTGAATGCAGGGTCCGGGGAGACCAAATATAGTGAATGCAGGGTCCAGGGAGACCAGATATAGTGAATGCAGGGTCCGGGGAGACCAGATATAGTGAATGCAGGGTCAGGATATAGTGAATGAGGGTCTGGATATAGTGAATGGGTCAGGGACCAGATATAGGAATGCAGAGGGCAGACCAGATATAGTGAATGCAGGGTTCGGGGAGACCAGATATAGTGGCGGGTTCGGGAGAGACAGGGTCCAGGGGAGACCAGGATATAGTGAATGCAGGGTATAGTGAATGGGGAGACCAGATATAGTGAATGCAGGGTCCGGGGAGACCAGATATAGTGAATGCGGGGTCCGGGGAGACCAGATATAGTGAATGCAGGGGTCCGGGGAGATCAGATATAGTGAATGCAGGGTCCGGGGAGATCAGATATAGTGAATGCAGGGTCCGGGCGATAGAGACCAGATATAGTGAATGCAGGGTCCGGGGAGACCAGATATTGAATGCAGGGTCCGGGGTTTAGTAACACTTTACTAGTTAAAACTTATATGAGATTTTAGTAAGGATTTAGATCTACTTAGGGAGATTTAGGGAATGTACTATTTGGTGTGCTCCCTATGATGGGCATATCCAAAAACACACATCCACAAGGCACTAGGACCTCCAACACGTTACTGCTGGGAGCAGTGAACATAACGCAGTCATTGGGTGAGCCTATTGGTGCTGGTGAGGCAGCTCATGCAGGACGAGGAACGTAAGACAAGTAAAAGGAGTGCCAAACCAACTGATAAAAGATTGCAGACTTCAATAGTTCAAAAAGAAAAAGGCCGGGGAGTCCACCAGAATTGTAAAATATAGTGAGGTGCCGCCAGATATACCTGGAAGGATGTTGCCTAAGGCAATACAAGAAAAACCAAAAGAAAAAGAAAAGTAGGCTACACACCTAAGAGGCTTTTCTCAAACATATTTATTGAATGTATATAAACCACACAAAGTAAAAACACATTGCATCATAGATCCAGAAACCACTCCTGACCATACAACCCCCCACCCACACTGGAGGGAACCCACCTCAGCTCCCTTTTTTGGGGGGGTGGTTGGATTGTGGGTTTGGGGGGGGGGCTTTTGGGGGAGTTGGGGGGTGGTGTGAGTGCTGCGGTCACGCACCGGGGCAGATTGGGCATCATCACTGGGTGCCATCTTGGGGGTGCTTACTTTGGGAGGTTCCCTCCTGTGCGGGGGTTGTATGGTCAGGAGAGGTTTCTGGATCTTCGATGCAATGTGTTTTTACTTTGTATGGTTTATATACTTTCAATAAACAACAGTTTGAGGGAAGCCTCTTTGGGTGTGTAGCCTACTTTCTTTTTCTTAGACTCCAATAGTTCACAGTAAGATCACATTAAACAGCCAACGCATATCGAATAAAAAGAATTAAAAAAAAAAAAAAAACAGCCAACGCATTTCACAGGTCAAACCACTCTCCCTTCACCAGGGCTTAAAATCAAGTCAAATTTTATATGGACTCAAGAACGGACTTTAATAGATGGACATTGATTATTTAGATTTGGATAAATCAGGAAAGCCAGTGAGAAGAAAGGTCAGTAACAATAGGGCATATTAGAGTGTTCGTTCTATTGAGCAAAAAAGAACAAAAATGGAGTCCAAAGTTCAGGGTCCTATCACTTGCATTTGTTCAGGATAGAAAATTTTTGGGCTCAATTCTGGTTGGTGGAAAGACATAAGAATATAAAAATGCTACATATCTGATCATATTGGCAACGTCCCTGAATTCTACACAGAATAATGTGATGTCTCGGGGCTTTACAGGGACTCCTTTCACCTGGGATGTTGGCTAGTGCACTGATATACTTCCACATCATGATAAACCCTCATACCTCCAACGTCCAGAGTTCTTCCAGCAAAACCTGCTTTATCTCTTGTAATGCAGTTATTACTAATCAAACTTTTACATGGGTGTCACTCTCTGCAGCCCTCTAAAAAGTGACCTGCAATGGATCACTTTGCAAAGGATGGTAGGGCAGAGGCTGCCAGTCGTTCAGGAGGCGATTTTTCTGAATGCTGTTTTTTTAGCTTTTTTTTTTTTTAATTCTAACGCCAATGACACCACAAGCACAAATCAAGCAGCTAGCTTGCAGTTTCTGCACAGTCCCATTGACCTCAGTGAGCGAGTTTAGCAAGTGGCGTCACAAACTCTGCAAGCAAGGGTAAATTTGCCATAGCATATATTTCACCCCATCTGACTACTAGGTTAGGAAATAGGTAGGGAAGTAGGGGTATGGGAAAAAGGAGGGGTGTTAGGGGGTGGTTGGGCAATAAAAACTCAGACCAACCCCATTTTTACCACCCTTTGCCACCCATGTGAAATGACCCTTAGAAAGACAAACCTTTTATATCCTATTTTATGAATAGAGTCACCAGCACACAAAAGGAGAATGTTATTTTACTTATTTAGTCAGGCGGAGGAAGGCATTATGATTTTTTACCTTTATGTCAGAGGAAGCATTATTTCCATAGAAAGGAACAGAGAAAGTTCTAGAGCTGCTGCAGTGTATGTCTGTCCCAATCACACAGATCACGATGATTACAGACAGATCTTAAGAAATGCAAACTGAATAATAAGTGGTAAAGGAAAATATACAGCAACACAATCAGGTCCGGGTAATAAACCAGAAAATAATGTGCAGAAGACAAAGACAGCCAATCACATCCCCATTAGTTCCTTCCCGATGAGTGACAGCATATGAATTCTGCCTGGTGGTGGCATCTCATCATTGTTTCAATTAGTCTGAATGTCCAACCCAATATCTGCATGGAGTGTGTGCATTCTCATGTTTGTGTTCCTCTGTATGCCCCATCTTGCAATCTGAAAACATAGTAAACAGGTTGTAAGCTCCTCTGGTGCAGAGACTGATGTGACAAGCTCAGTGACCTCTGTACAGCACAGCAGTATATGTCAGAACTATATAAATGTACAACAATAATAGTATGACTGTGGATGGGACATTAGATAGTAAGCTCCTCTGGTGCAGAGACTGATGTGACTGGCTCAGTGATCTCTGTACTGCACAGCAGTATATGTCAGAACTATATAAATGTATAGTAGTGTATATAGATGTGGTGAGTGTAAGCTCCTCTGGTGCAAGGACTGGTGCGACTACCTCCATGGTTCCTGTACTTCACAATGGAATATGTCAGAGCTACATAAATGTATAATAAAATTCTATAATAATAATAATAATAATAATAAGATAACCACTGCAGTGAGATCAGATGGCCACTAGTGGGCAGAATGGAATCACACTATAGTCTGACCTCCTGTAGAGACCACACTCTGCTTGGTCCATACAGAACATGCATTACATCATTTCTGATCACATTCCAAATGATGATAAAACAAAAAACCCGCCACGCATAAAAACCCATCTTTCAGCTCCTCCTATGGCCACTCACTCCCACAACACGCTTACCCACGTGGTCCACAAACAACACGGTAACTGGCTATTTCTAGCTGGACAATGAACAGTAAGGAGTAGATTTATAAAACAGTGAATGTGATTTTCACCAAACATTAATTACAGATGAATCTTCCTGAGGCATGTAGTTTAAATGACGGCACTGATCCAGCAACAGTAAATGTTTGGTGAAATTCACATTAATTGCTTTAGAAATATGTCCCTTGGTCATGTAATATCATTTGGGCAGAGTGCACATTAAAAAATGCTAAAAACTGCAGTGGGGGACATTAGAGTGTAAGCTTCTCTGGTGCACAGACTGATTGTGACTGGCTCAGTGTTTTTTGTACAATGCTGTGGAATACGTCAGAGCTATATAAATGTATTTAAAAATTAGTGTGCGACTGTGGTGAGGGCATTGGAGCGTAAGCTCTTCTGGTGCAGAGGCTGATTTACATGGCTCAGTGTTCTCAGTACAGCACTGTGGAATCAGTCAGAGCTATATAAAATGTAGAATAATACTGTGTGACTGTGGATTGGACATTAGAGTGTAAGCTCCTCTGGTGCAGAGAATAATGTGACTGGCTTAGTGTTCTCTGTACAACACTGTGGCATATGTCAGAGCTATATAGCTGTATAATATTAATATTATGTAAACGTGGTGGGGACATTAGAGTGCAAGCTCCTCTGGTGCAAAGACTGATGTGACAAGCTCAGTGATCTCTGTACTACACAGCAGTATATGTCAGAACTATATAAAATGTACAAAATTAATAGTGTGATTGTGGATGGGACATTAGAATGTAAGCTCCTCTGGTGCAAAGACTGATGTGACTGGCTCAGTTATCTCTGTACAGTACAGCAGTATATGTCAGAACGATATAAAATGTACAACAATAATAGTGTGACTGTGGATGGGACATTAGAATGTAAGCTCCTGTGGTGCAGAGACTGATGTGACTAACTCATTGTTTTCTGTACACCGCTGTGGTATATGTCAGAGCTATATAAATGTATAATAAGTGTGTTCCCTGTACAACACTATGAAAATGTCAAAGTTATATATAAAATAAATAGCCTATAATTGTTGGGGTACATTAGAGTGGAAGCTCTTTGGAACAAACATTCCTGTTTATTATACTGTGAAGTGCCGCTAGCTGTGTTTGTATTAAATATTTATAATAATCTAGCAGCTCTCTATAAAAGGAAATATCATACTCTCCGAATTCCTGTAAACACTTTATTGCTAGATTCTCAGCTCAAAACAAAAGCATCAAATTCAATATACCTTCCCAGCGTATGCAATGCTGAATACTCAAATACAGTACTAATTACAACTCTGTATAATAAAAATGCTAAACATCATAACTCTAAGGCTGCATTCACACTTGAGCGTTTTGTAGCTTGAAGCTCCAAAAAAGCTCAAACCTAAAAAATCAATTGTTCTCTATGGTGCCTGTTCACACCTGATCACGCAAATATGCACCGTATAGAACAACTGATTTTTAAGTTTGAGCTTTTTGGAGCTTCAAGCTACAAAATGCACAAGTGTGAATGCAGCCTGAATTCCACCCAAAATGCACTCATTGAATTTTCTGCCTATTGCAAAGCAAGAAAAAAAAAAGCTCTCCAAATTTCATCCTTAGTGCCATGGATCCATGGAGATAACCACTGCAGTGAGATCAGATGGCCACTAGTGGGCAGAATGGAATCACACTATAGTCTGACCTCCTGTAGAGACCACACTCTGCTTGGTCCATACAGAACATGCATTACATCATTTCTGACCATGTTCCAAATGATGGTAAAACAAAAAGCCCGCCACGCATAAATGCCCATCTTTCAGCTCCTCCTACAGCCACTCCCACAACACGCTTACACACGTGGTCCAAAAACAACACGCTAACTGGCTATTTCTAGCTGGACAATGAACAGTAAGGAGTAGATTTATAAAGCAGTGAATGTGATATTCACCAAACATTAATTACAGGTGAATCTTCCTGAGGCATGTAGTTTAAATGACGGCAACTGATCCAGCAACAGT